CTTAACGTTTGAACAATTTATTGCCTAATTATTTAGTTTGCCCTTTTGAAGAGATTGTCTGCAGGACACTTTTTGAGAGTGACAGAACAAAAAGTGGGCCCTTAGAAAGTAATTCCCCCATTGCATTAAAAGCAAAGTAACCTTTTTATCAAATGCTTTGTGACCATTTAGAATATTGAATTTGTATTTTAATCATCATGTTCAACAGGAATATAGCCAGTGGGAAAGAATTAATTACAAATGATGTCTTTCTCCTGGTTATGTCTAGAATCCCAAGGGATGCTTTAATGAAGCTCTGAACCCTTAGACAGGAAAGGTCAAATGACTTTCTTACCCCATGGTACCTCAGAGTGCATATAGCTGCACCTTTATCCTAGCAGATGTTCAACCAGGTATAATACTAGCCTGAGGCAAAAATTCCAGGAAATAAGAGCTCATAGAGCAGCAAGTCTCCGGAATTTGGTGGATAATAGAGTAACTTCTTTCAGAGTTTGAAGAGGAGATGAGTTTTGATAATCCTCATTTAAATATAAATGTATATTTCATTAGAGGTGTAATAATGCCAGAAGGATTACCATCTACTTGGGAATTTATTATGTATTAAAGATTCATGATATTTTAGGTCAACATTTTGAAAATGTTGGAAACCTTGGTATGTTTATACAATGCACATATTTAAGTTTTTATTTGGTTAAACTTGATGAAATTGCCTCTTTTGGTATGTCAACAAAAAAATGGCTGAATATTAGCATTTTATCTGTTTTAACTTACTAGTTAACTTCCTGTATACAGTTAATAAAAGAATGCAATGTTACATTTATAACACCATTTTGATCTATTTTTCCTTCTTAAAAACCATGCTAAATAAGATCTTATCAAAATGTGTTGATTGCTAGATGTACCTATGTTTGAAACTTTTAGATCTAAATTTGTATTGCTTTTCCAGAATTAGTGTTGGTTTTCAACTTTGATTTTGAGGATTTGCATCTTTACACTAGCCAAATAATTTAAGGTAGAACTGGATATGCATTTTAAGCACACACCCAAAATAAAACTCATTGGTGTCCAAGTTGATTCTGACTTGTAGCAACCACATAGACAGAGCACACTTGCCTATAGGTTTCCAAGACTGTAAATATCTATGGAAGCAGACTGTCACATCTTTTGCTGGAGGAAGGGCTGATGGATTCAAACCACCAACGTTTTCATTAGCAACCAAACGATTTAATCACTGCACCACCAGTGCTCCTTATTATTTAAGTACATACGTCAATTTAATTATTACTAAAAGTTTGTCTTGAAGCTGAAAAAACTGATTATGCTTTCTTCAAATTTAAAAAGAACAAACTGAAAAATATTCAATGAAGATATGAGTTTACACATTAATTACTAATGTTGATAATTAAAGGGAATCTTTATGTACCAGATTTTTGTGTGTGTATACATATATATGTTGTTGTTGTTAAGTGCCGTCGAGTCGGTTCCGACCCATAGCGACCCTGTACAGGGGTTTCCGAGGGTGTAAATCTTTTATGGGAGTAGAAAGCCTTATCTTTCTCCACAGAGCAGCTGGTAGTTTCGAACCGCTGACCTTAAGGTTCGCAGCCCGATTCGTAACCACTACACTATCAGAGCTCCTTGTATATACATATATATATATACATATATATATATACATATATATATATACATATATATATATATCGTTGTACAGTATATTTGTATACTTTCTTTGAAAAGCTATTTGTAGCTTCTTGAGTCAGAATCTACTAGATGGCAGTGGATTTTTATTGATATATTTATATTGTAACAGTGTACACCTTTGTGCTGGGCAACATTTTGGCCCATTATAACATGAGGTATGGAGTCCTTAGCAACACATTTTTGTGAGATATTTAGTCATGAAATAGATGCATATTTTTAATTTACTTGCATTATTTGGTATTTTATCACAATTTTTAAAAAAGACTGTGCCTTGATGCAAAACTTAAAACGACCAATTAAGGTATACTTTCATAAAGCACCATTTAGCTGAACACTGATGAACAAGGAAATCTTTTTAAAAGACTCTTAAAGCTATTTCCAATGTAAATTTAATTAGAAAACAATGAGAAGGCACAAATGATGGATAATGTGTATGTCCACTACTTCTAAAGTTGGATCTGAAAACAGTTAAAGCTTACACTATTGACAGGTCAAAATCTTTCTTGTTATTGAAAATACAGTGGATCTTTTAACAAAGACTAGTAACTAGGCAACCAGAAAGGGGCGTTGGAAGTGGGGGTGGGGAAGGACTGACAGATAACGCTTGTCAGGGACAGCAAAGATAAGTAGCTGTCATTATTTTTGGAAGCCTATCCACTCGACAACAATGGGTTTTTGTTATTTTGTTGGGTTATCTCAATTTAAGGGGTTATACCTGCGGGGACTCTTGGGGGGGTGAGGTGGGGGACGGAGGAAGAGACTAATGTGGTGTAACTAAGCTGCAAAACGGATTATCTTGGTTGGCTACTAAACAATTTCTGAACAGAATGCATTAAAATTATGTCTTGAATTTTGATCACTGCCAGAATAAGTGTAGTTGTTGTTATGTGCCGTGGAGTCGGTTCCGACTCATAGTGACCCTGTACAGGGTTTCCGAGGCTGTAAATCTTTACGGGAGCAGAAAGCTTCATCTTTCTCCCGCAGAACAGCTGGTAGTTTCGAACTGCTGACCTTAAGGTTCGCAGCCTGATTCGTAACCACGACACTCCCAGAGCTCCTTGAATAACTGTAGCAAGCAGACGGAAAATTAAGGTAGCAAGTGCCTTTCACAGGCCGCTTGATCTGATTTACTCACCAGGCAGCCCCCCAGAAATTAAGTTTTTAACTTGAGGAAACAAACAAACAAACAAAAATAGCATTTAAAGGATCTTTATGTGATTCCATAACCACGCATCAACACATTCATGTTGCTTTAATATAAAAATTGCACTGTATTTGTTTTAAAGTTTGGTTTCTTTTATGTTCTTTAAAATGCATACCACCTTGAACATTTTCAAGAAATAGCATAAAAAATTTTCAGAGTTGTAAAGCAGAGATGTATCTTATTTTTATTGGCAGTTAATGTGGAGGGCATGTGTAGCAGCTGTCTCAATAGTCGCTAAATTAACGACATCAGTTGACAGTGTCGTGTGGAGAAGCCAGGAAAAAAATTAAGAGAGGCGCCTTGCCCAGGAACTGAAATTCCAAAATAGGTGTTGAACATTCTGTTGGTGGATGCATTTTTTAAAATTATTTCAAATATAACTGTCTTTACTGAATGAGGGATTGTGAGTATTTGGTTTGTCTTTGGAATGCAATCCCCCCACCCACCGCCCCCAAAAGGTATGCGCTAATTTACCAAAGGCGCGAAAGGCAAGAGCTAGCCTGGTCTCAGGAACTAGTGCAACACGTCAGTGAAAGGCGGGAAGAAGATCTGTTTTTTCCCCCTCTTTGAGATCTCCTTCCCGCTTCTTTCCAGCCAGAGGAAACCGCGGCGGCGGCGGCGGCATAGGTTTTATATCTAAGACAATAGCGCCTCTCGCCGCCCTTGTCGCAGCTCAGAATCTCTGTCCCGTGGGTCCTCGTGCCACACCAATCCTGTTGCTCCACCTGGCCTCCTGCCTCACCAGAGACTCTGCCCGCAGGTCCCTTTACCCCACCTGAGTCCCTGGCATATCGGTGCTTTATCCCACGGATACCCTAGTCCCAGAAGTCTCTTCCATCACTTGCGTCCTTTCCCCAGGAGGTCCTCTGCCTCTTCAGTTCATAGGTTCCACGAATTCTCCTACTCCTTCGGCTCTCTGGCCTCCCAGTCCTTCAGTCCCCCTACCCACTCGCACCCTGCCGGAGCCGAGACAGTGGACTGGAAGAGCCCGCAGTCCAGCCTGCGCCTCCCGGGGCCGGCGGGAGAGAACCAGGAGTAAACTAGCAGGAGCTCTGCTCGTTACCCCTAGCTCTCCGGCGGACTTGCCCCAGTCTTCTTCTAGGATATGGGCCTCTTAGGCTTATTTGCTTGTCCTCAGAATCCAAGCCAGCCCCACTCCCTCCTCCCGTCTGCTTCAACAGCCTTTTGCTTCCTGCGGTGTGTTTCTTTTTTTCCTCTCCTAAGACTCCATCAAAGGTGGCTCTGTTATTGAAATATGAAGCCATTTCCTCTCCAAAACCCTTGGTTACCTCAAGGCGGGAATCAATGGACCTATATACTCTCCTCGGAGTTATAAATAAATGTTTATTTGTTCAAAAGGCGTTTTCTCGTGTGTCCCAGCATCTTCCTCAGTGGTTATTTTAGGTAGGTGTGCGCGCTTGCTCACGAGCGCGCCCTTTACCCATCTGGTTCTAATCCAGGGTAGGGACCCAACCCCACCCGTCTCTTCTCCCCCTCGCATTCCTCATTCTATAAATAAATCCAGGTTCTTTGAGGTCTGTCATACAGGGATACAATAGCAGTTGCTTGTTTGCTAACGGAGATTTAAACCGAACAATGATACTGTAACCAGTAAACAGAGAAAATAAGCATCAAGCAATTTGGGTGGGAGAGCAACTCCAGATTTGCAAACTTTATCTGCCATTGTCATAATTGTCCCTCTACCTTGTTTTCCTTAATCTACTTTGTGGGTAGGAGTGAGGATAACTGCAATCCTTAGATTTTCCTTTAAGCTTTACACACACAAAAACAGCAACAATGAAGTTAGACAAGAATAGACTGTCCTGGTGAGTTTACCTCAGAAGGCTGTTTCACAGTCATCTCACTGAACCCCTTTCTCCACCCACTCTGGACTGATTTAGGGATGGTGAGGGTGCAAGAGGTGTGGTGTGGGTGGAGGGCTGTGGTTGCAGCTGCCGCTTTTCCTGAACCATCGAGCAGGACACTTAGGGATCTGAGCAGAGAGGAAAGTCATCTAAGAGGTTGCTGTTTTACAAGGTCTGGGCACAGTGCTGCCCCTCCCTTCCTCCTTGAAGTTTGCATGAAGTGCACGTTAGGCTGTAATTAGGGGATCTGGTAGGAGAACTTTCCTGGTGACGCTTTGCTTTTCTTCTGCTCTTAGTGAGAAAGTACCTCCTTCTTCCTAGGATCAGGACCTCTGCCATCCAGAGCCACAAAGAGACATTCTACGCGCCCGCGCGCACACGGACACACACACACACACACACACACACACACACACACACAACACATGCGCATTCACACTCTCCCAGAGACAAACTTAAGGTGAGGGAAAGAGCTCTAGCTTCACTTGATCTCCAGGTTCCAACATCAGCAGGACTTGAGAGCATCTAATCTTCTGGATTTCAGGACAAGGTAAAACTTCCATAATTTTGTTTTCCTCTTTGGGTCAATCTTTGATGCCATCAAGATTTCAGAAACCAATATGTACACATCATGATTTATGTATATATTTTTACATTTTCTACAATTTTTACTTGGGTGTAATATAACATTTTCCTTTTAATTGTTAAGGTTCATTTTTATCAAATAAAATACTGCATTGAAATAAGTAGGTTCAGTCTAAATTTGTAATAACTATTAACTTTAGTATCCTGGTTATTTGCTAGTGTGACTATCAATCTGGTAGCTTCCAAGTTTCCAAGTGGTGACTTTTCCATCTGTATTTTTCAGCAAGCATTTTCATAATGCCTTATATTTAAAAAAAAAGAAAGAAAGAATAGTATAGTCAGAAGGCTGAGCTGAGGAATGGGAATGTCCATTCCATATTTATGATTTTCTTTTAGGACATATATAGTCTTATGTGGAAAAAAGTTACTGTCATCATAGATAATACCCGTTAGATATTACCATTGTTGGTCCAACTAGTTACAAAATCAACGCCATAGGAGCATGGTGAACCTCTATACAAAATGATGTTGATGGATAATGTTCTTGTGTTGACAATTTGTTGAGAGTCATAGTTAAGAATACTTTTAAACATGGCTTAAAGGAATTATTTCTATGTCAAAACTATTTACCATCAAAAGCAAACCTGAACTCTTTTGAGTTTAGATGAACTTATTTTCTTTCTTTGAATATGATTGTTGTGTTCAAAATAACATGGTTTATTATTTTGAAAGTAAGTTGTTTTATTTTCATTTATCACTGGAAAAATACACAAGTGGTCAGTACATTTGGGGATTTTTAGGGTGAAAAGTGTTCCTGTACGTGTTCCAATGTGATGTCATAAAATCAAACATACTGATGACTGGCTTTTGGGAAACTAGAGGTTCTTAAGAAATGAAGCCTGAAAATTAATTTGTAAGTGAAATATAATATTTATTCATTACAAATGTGGTTTCTGATAACCAATTCGATTTGATTATTTCAGTATACTAAATTCACAGCGATTTTATGCACACTCCAGTGATTTTAGCATTTTAGTGGCATTATAGAATGAGAATATTCTTCTACCAAGATTCTCTACCAAAAGTTATTTTTTGGATAATTTACAGTGTAATAGTTTATAATCCTCACACCAGTTCTTAACTGTAGTTCTAATTGTTCAAGTAAAAGCAGGTATATCCTTTCATTCAGGAAAATAGAATGCATGCCAAAGAACCATTGCGCTATTAAAGTTCTCTAGTCAGTGTTGTACTATCTGTTCCTAATAATTTGATTATTTGAGTGAAAGAATGAGTTTACATACTTTGGTGATTTATTCACTAAATTGGAATCAGCTTAAAAATAAGAAAACTAGGTAAAAAGAAGTAACTTTGCTTGAAGCTAATTAAATGAGCAAGAGAAAGCCAACATTATGGAATTACTGGTCCACAGTGGGATTGTGGATTAGTACTACTTACAGGAGTATGCATTAGATTTGGGTTTTCTATGAAGGACAAAAAAGAGAGGAAAGCCATGTTCTTATAAAATGAACCATTTATTTTCAGCAAAGTCCTGTCTCTCAGAGGAACGACTGACACTGTAATTTAGAAGTACTGAAGAGACTTTTCACAGAGAAGAATCAATTCATTATGTCCCTAGTGGTTTCACTTCCTTGTACTTCCTTTGGGAGCAAGTAACACATCCAGAATAAATACGCTGAGTATGTAGAAGATACTTTATGAGTAAAAGGTCTACTAAACAGACCTGTCTTTTAGACTCTTGGGTGTGGAATATGGGTATTTTTTGAGCAGTTGAAGAAGTTTTTAGAATCTTAAGGTAGAACTTAAAGATGAACAAGAGTCATATTCAGAAAATAACTGCCTTCTTCAGAAAATAGTTTCTTTTCATTCCCTTTTGCCTATGCATGCTTTAAGGAAACCTGGTAGCATAGAGGATTACAAGTGGGGCTGCTAACCTCAAGGTCAGCAGTTCGAATCTACCAGCTGCTTCGAGGGAGAAAGATGAGGTGTTCTGCTCTCATAAAGATTTACAACCATGGAAACCCTATACAGGATTGCTATGAGTCAGAACCTACTCAGTGGCACAAGACCACCAAGACCACCATGCATGCTTTATATTCTATATTCCACTTTTAAGATAATGGTATTCCTCCCATTAAAATTCCAACAAACTGCAAAGTAAATTTGAATATCCCTTTCATATGATGATCTTCTATTGCTTATAATTACTTTTTTGACACCCTACTTCCGTTATTAATGACCAAAGGACTTAGTCTATATATTATCAAAATGTACTTGGGGAGGGGTGAGGTCCTGAGTATGCTTAGGGTTTTAATCAATAATGTTTAAGGAGGATTAGAGGAAACAGCTGGTTAAACAAATATTAGGTGTAGAGTGGAAGACGCGATGGTATAAATTAATAATGCAGTTCTTTATTTACTCTATGAATGGGAGGGTTTGTGGCTGTTTAATACATGAAGCATGGTCCCTGTTTGCCACCTAGTGGACAAATCAAAGAAGACTTTGTCACCAGCCACTTCTTAAAAATTCTGAGCCTTTCATTCTATTGGCATTTTTTGAACTGTAGTTCAAAAAATGCCAATAGAATGAAAGGCTCAGAATTTTTAAGAAGTGGCTGGTGACAAATTCATGTGGCACTGTAAGCTAATGCGTCAGACTGCAAAGTCGTTTGAACTGCAAGGTTGGTGGTTCAAGCTCACCAGTTGTTAGTTGGAAACCGGAATCCACTCCACCGTACTTAACAACAACAATTATATGCCGAAGTCCTAGTGTGGCGCTGCGAGTTAATGCTCTAGACTACAAAGTTGGTTTAAGCAGGAAGGTAGGCAGTTCAAGCTCATCAGCTGCTTCTCAGAAACCCTGGGTAAAAACTGACTTGACAGCACTTAACAACAACTACAATTATATGCCAGGCATTGTAGTAGGTACTCTGAGTAGAATATGCAAAAAGTGACTGCCATATCATTTAAACATCAAAATGTATATAGGTTTAATTAAAACTCAATGCATTTTAATTCTGTTTACTCTTGAGTTATGTGGTTTAAAATCTGCTTTCTGCTTCCATGAGGATACAGTTTTATAAATACACACCTCACATTTTTTTAGTGATGTGTCAATATAGTTCAAGGAAGGATGGTGGAAGTTTGGCCATCTTGAATCACTGTTTCTGAAATAGAAATTAAGTTTTGTAGAGTGTATTGTTATTGATTTTAAATGGGTAAATAATTATTAGCTTTAAAGGTTAGCAAATAGATGTTAAGTGCCCTCAGTCGATTCTGACCCATAGTGACCCTGTATAGGGTTTCCAAGGAGCAGCTGGTGCTCTTGAACTACCGACCTGGCAGTTCAAATGACTTTGCAGTCTGACTCATTAACCCATAGCACTACACAAGGACTCCAAATAGATATTAGCACATATTATTATATATACTTTAGATTTTTTTTTATTATTAAGTGGAAAAGGATAGTACAAAAGACTGCTTCTGGTGTTTGCCTGCTAATAAAAATGTTGGTGATATAAGTTCATTCAGTGGTGCCTCCAGAAAGGCCTAGCTATTTACTTTCAAAAATTCAATCATTAAAATTCCTACGGAGCACATTTTGACTCTGACATACAGGGAGTTGCCATGAGTAGTTGAATTGGTGGAAACTGGTTTAGTAAGGAGTATTTCACTAAATACTGGTCTCCCTAGACTGACTAATAATTAGCATGAAGAACATCATCATCTACCCCTATTGTTCATATGTATTCTTGGATCAGGAACCTTCCTCACAGTACAGGAACCTTCCTCACAGTAAAGTGACAAAATAGAAAATTTTAAACAAGAACACTTGCTTGGAAGACAACCATTTGAAAGAACCATTAGGTTATCACAGAAGATAAATGCATCTGAATACTGCACTGGAAGTTTTGAAAAAAATTTTTTTTTCTGGGAGATATATGAATTATTACTCCAGTTTTTACTCATAGCAAGCTGTGTGACTAAATGACAACAATCTTAGCTAATCTGTATTAATCAAGACAAGTTCTGAAAATTAGATCGCAATATAAAATGTTTCAAGGTTCTGTTGCTGTTAGGTGCCTTCTTGTTGCTTCCAACTGATAACAAACCAATGCGCAACAGACCGAAACACTGCCCAGTTCTGCACCATCCTCACCATCATTGTTATGTTTGAGCTCATTGTTGTTGCCAATGTGCCAGTTCATCACCTTGGTAGTTTTCCTCTCTTCCATTGACCCTCAACTTTACCAAGCATGATGTCCTTCTCCAGACACTGGTTCAAAGTTCTAGAGGTAAAGTCTCACCATCCTCAAGAAGCCTTCTGGCTGTACTTCTGCCAAGACAGGTATGTTTGTTCTTCTGGAAGTTCATAGTACTTTCAATATTCTTCTGCAACCCCGTAATTCAAATGCATTGATTTTTCTACAGTTTTCCTTATTCATTGTACAACTTCCATGTGCATATTTTCCATTGACCTGAGTCAGGTGCACCTTGGTCCTCAAAATGACATCTTTGCTCTTGAACACTTCAAAGAGATCTTTTATAGCAGATTTGCCTAATGCACCAAGTTATGTGGTTTCTTGATTTCTGCTTCCATGAGTGCTGATTGTGGATCCAAACAAAATGAAGTTTTTGACAGCTTCAGTCTCTTCTTTATTTATCATGATGTTATTTGTTGGTCCAGTTGTTAAGAATTATTTTTTTCTTTACATTGAGGCGCAATCTATATTGAAGGTGGTAGTCTTTGATCTTCATCAATAAATATTTGAAGTCTTCTTTGTTTCCAGTAAGCAAGGCTTTATCATCTTCATATCATATTGAAGGTTATTAATGACTTCTCAAATCCTGATATCACTTTCTTCTTCATATAATCCAGCTTCTTGGATTATTTGTTTATCGTATACATTGAATGTTGCTGTTGTTGTTAAGTGCCGTAGAGTCAGTT